CCCCCCCCACCAGCAGTGACGCGGCGGGTGAGTCAGCGCTCCCCTCCACCTCCTCCGCACGGTAATGTAACGGTGACGCAACAGGATTGCGAGAGACGACGGTAGTAACAGCGGTTACTACCGCTAGCGTTGCTAGCAACACAGCGCCAGGCAACAAGTGTGCTTCTTACGTGGCCGTTCTCTGTATTGTCCGATCGAGGCTACATGAGGAGCAGTGAAGGCTATTCACAGTTAGTCCTGGAGCTACCTACGAGTCAGTCCTCGAGCTACCTCCGAGTTAGTTCCGAGTTAGCCAGCAACCAGTCAGTTGTATTGTGGCATTTGGAGTGTACTAATTGTGATACTGCAGATAGCAGTAATCGTAACTCTGTAATTTGGGTGATTGTAAGCGCGAATGTGAAATAAAATTCGCTACATCAAATACCTCGTGAAGTTATTTGTCGCGTCATACCCCTGATACGTGACAATATTTAACAACGCACTTCATATTAATAATGGAATACTACTCCAGTTACTACCAGTAATTTGATAAATTAATTAGAAGCTCACAGTAAGGACACAAGGAAAGCAGAATACAAGAATATTTCAGAAGCACCCTTCTGTTTAAACAGCATGTTTAAGATATGCTGGAGGCAAAGATAAATATTATGAACAGTAACATGTGGGGACTTCCATACATTCCAGCAAGCTCTGCATGAAAATTTATGGACAGGGTCACTGACATAAGTGACTCAAGCATTATCAAAGGGGAACAATGAATTAATTCCTTTACCACCTTACCTGACAGTTTCTGATTCACGATACGTTCTCACAACATGATGTGTCACATGACCAGGGCCTAACCTATGTCTCAGTGGGGTTGCTGCTTCCATGAGGTCACCCCGAAGAGCATCTTCAAATGCAGGGGGTGGAGTAGAAGAGCTGGGCACAGGGGAATGACTGCTCACAAACCCACCTACAAGCAACAGGAAAGGGACCAGAATATCATAACTGCATGGACAAAATTAGAATACAGGAATACACTTTCTAAAGATGTCATAACTACTAACTAAGCATGTACCATACCTCCATTTTACGTGGAATCAGAATTTCCATCAAAACATAATGAAATAAACTTCATTTCATTTAAATTTCCCAGAAACTATTACATCCGGTTTCATTATAAATATAGTGTGACGGTGATATGGGACAGCCACGGTTCATACTCTCAGCAAAGAATAAGATCTATACAACTCAGTATTCTGACATTCACAGCTACAATACCATACATAAACATAATTTGTATGTCCAATTTTGTAATACCGATCATTGCAAAAAAAAGTGTAATCAATATGGGAACTAAAATATCTAATAGCCTTCACCTTGAATTGAAAAGCATTGAAAATTTTAATGTTTTTAAGAGTAAACTAAAAAATTGTTTGCTGTGCAGCACTTCCTAACATGTCCAATTGTATTCACTTCAATTATGGACAAAAATGAAGTTGAAGTTGAAACACCATCCATACTATTTTCACAACATGATGATGACTGGAATATCTAGTGTATATCAGTCTGTTCATTAACCAATCAATCATATATTCTGTGACAATAACAAATCTGAATCAATACATCTCAATATAAAAACTTCACATGTTTACAATATGAAATCTGTTAATTTATTTCTTACTAAGTCAAGAAATAACTTCAAATCACATTCTGACATACAGATTCACTTAATTTACCTAACTCTCTCACATGTAACAGGATTCAAAGGTTCAACATTATTAATACAAAGCTTGCCATTGTACCCCATTTAAAGAGTTCAACACAATTATCATTTTCACAAACAATGGGCAAAAATATGTCAATCGATAAACCGGCTCTGTGTTGGACAGATGGGGTTAGGATCCCTGCAAGGGACGAGCACAATGTCTCCTCCAGTGAAATGGCTGGCTGGAGTAGGAAGGAGACATCTCACTTCCTGTGACAAGGTTAAAAATGTGAGGAGCTTTACTTCCATCCTGCATTGCATGGTGTTGATGTACAGGGGCATTCACCTACAACATAAGCATTTCCAGTACTTTCCTGCAGTCTTTGGCTTCATGTTCTAAATGGTAATCTTATGCTTCTTCACCTGGATTCTGCAGTCACATTTTCCTCATCTGATCTATATATCCCATATTCTGTAACCTCTTAAATCTAGCTACCCTAATATGATATTAAGTGTAATATCTTCCATTCCTTGCTATGTTCTCTCGTCTGGATCTAAATATTTCCTTGTTGCTTTCCTTTCATATGCCTAGTTTTTTTGTTTTTTTCTGCAGGAAGAGAAATGTAAGTGTAAGAAATTTGAAGTAATCATTTCTGAAACCTTAAACGTCAATAACTTGGAAGACAGGCAAGACAACAACCAGTTTTTTAATATATGTAATATGAAGTACTTCTGGAATCCGTAGTGTTACAGTAAACTCCACTGTTCTACACATTTAAATTCCATGACTGCAGTCTTCTGGAATGTGATGTGAGGTTTGCAGTGAATTTTAAAGGGCCTAAAACCACTGTCAGATAAGTTATTTTCACAAGAAATGTATGATCAAAACAAAGATTTACAATGCATTCACACTCAACAGGATACAGAAAGTGGAAAATGTAATGGTAAGTTCATACTCCACAAGGCACTTCTGATGTGAAGGGTTGGTATGTTTGCACTTATAAAAAGAATAACTTGGAATCTGGTCAGGTCTGTGTTACAAAACTCAGGTTCAGGGCCAGTGGAATTGAGTGCGGACTTTCTACATACCTTCCCATTCCATGGCCAATGATAAAGGTAACAATTTTAAATCTAAGGAATATCTAGACCCCTCTGTGGTTCTTTGTCAATATGACGTTGTATGGACCCTCTGATAATTAATTATCTCCCTGAATACCATCCTGCAATCTACTCAAGGACTCCATCAATACAAAGGCAGGTAAAGGTAAAGACATTCATAGGGACATGACTGAATGCACTATCCACAATATGTTTCACTTGTGTGATGATAGAATATGACTTAAAATGTCATTCTATTTTTATGAAGCTTTCATATCAATTTCAGAATATTTCTTTCGCCTCTTCGCAGTGTATTAAAACTTTAGTTTTTCCATTAAACTGAATATACTCACAGAAACTAGAACATGTAATATATTTGCCTGTACAATTTAACAAAACTCGAGCATCATAAATGCATTACTTTTACACCTCAAAATCTGCAAGATTAAATGAAGCCATTTCAATTATTTCTCAGTTACTTTCAATAGGACTACTGTATTTGGTTACTGCCATTAGAAAATGTACACATACACACACAAATATGGAAGCACTGCTTTCTAGTAGGACAAGAATGTAGTGATATCTTGTATCGTGTGAGCACATTTATATGCAGGTGCATATTTATTCATGCAAAGTTGCACTAATGTCTGTAAGCAGTAACAGCAGTAACACAGAGCATGATCCAGCGAATGGAAGAATGACTGGCAAAAGACACTGAAGAATTGTGGCATAACACCACAAAACCCATAAGGAGACATATGCATATACTAGTCACAATATCAATGAATGTTGTACAAACATACAGAATCTGCTTGCAAATTTATGAACTGGTAACGTGATATTTCATGTTAGATGTTAGAAATATTTCAACTCACAGCTCTGCATAGCACACTTCTATATATATATTAACATCTTGTTTTTTTTTGGTACTGTAGAACTAAATCTTTTGTATCACACACACACACACACACACATATATATATGTGTGTGTGTGTGTGTGTGTGTGATACAAAAGATTCAGTTCTACAGTACCAAAAAAACAAGATGTTAATATTATGCAGCATGAATCATATTTTCAAACATTTAAATCTATTCACATTAACACTATAATTACACAACCAATGAGAAAATATATTATTAGAATGACTACTTAATTCTGCAAAGCAACCAATACAAAATACATACTATGCACAACACATAAATGCTGCAAGTGTGTTAGTTTCAAAATTGTGCATCCCCAGAACAATTTGAACACTCACAAGCAATATATACAGATCAAACCATATTGCATGCACTGCCTCTGACCCCACACATACTTAAAGCAGATTAATAAACTGAAGCGCAAAGTATATTTTATTACAAAAGCCATTTATGACTAAACCTAATGAAATATTACACTAATCTGTGTCAGATCTGAGGTTCACATAGTGGTCTGTGTTGTAATGACATGTACCTAAGAGAGAGCTAGATGTTTCAGAGGAGCATGACGCCTCTATCTTCAGGGTAAGACAAGAATGAAACTAGGCACAAAAAAGGAACAGGGAAAGAACCAATAAAAGAATCACCATTGTATGGGGACTCAAAAAGCTAATGAGAGCAAAGGGAATGGTACCTGAGTTGGGCCTTGAAAAGAGCTGGCTACATGCTGAATGAAGAGAAGTTTTATGTTATGTCCAGTAGAGAGGCAGAGTGGTGAAAACAGGAGTCAGAGGCACTGGAACAAACCAAGGAGAGTCAAACAGCCAAGGAAGACTAGAAGTCTGCTGTCAAAAAGGACATGCCCTAAAAGCAGCAGCCTGTACAGGCCAAACCACCTGGAGAGTCATGTCACAAGAGACCTATGAGGGAGACATCCTGCATTCCTTCAGAAAGATGATAAGAGGTTCCCATGACTTACTTAAAACATAAGTCATCCCCCTGCTCATGCTATTGGGATGAAGCTCAATCTCAATGGTACGGTCTGTGTCCAGAATTGGTAACAAGGACACTGGTCACTTGAAGCTGGATGTAGTGACCCAAGCAGATTTTCTGCTCTGCTACGGCTGATTTACTTGGATGTCCAACATGAATGTTCCGTGGTGCTCAACGTATGCGCCTTGTGTACATGTAACCACTTTCACGAGATACTGTACGTTCTAGTGTCTTCAATCCTAAGTCATCCTTGAACATACACAGGAAGGTGGAGATATTTTTCAGCAGGATGCCTATGCTCAATACTGTATTAGGACAGCACTGCTAATATGGTTGAAAGTGGATCCTACACAGGACAAGAATGTATTGAGTATGGGCCATCATGGAGTGCAGCAACCTTCAAAGGAAAGTTAACAGCTCTATGAATCTGCTGGTCACTGTATACATTCAGGTGGAGCAGCCACAGTGACTAGCAGATTCAAAGATTTCTCAAACCTCCTCTGAGGGTTGCTCCACCACATTCTGACTCAATCATATTCCTGCTGTTATGTGCAGTCCACATTCAAGTCGCTTGGAAACTTCTCACCTCCTCTCCAAAGGAATGCAGGTGTCCCTCAAAGGTTTCTTGTGGTTTTCCAGGCAGTCTAGTCTGTGCACACTGCCCTGTTCAGGTCACAGACCCTACCTTATCTGGGCACCAAACTTCCTGTCTTCCTTGGCTGTTTATGCAACAGCTTATTCCTTCACTCATTCATCCTCCTCAGGATCTTCCACTGTCTCTCACTCCTGTTATCACCATCTGGCCTTTTCCCAAAATATACATACAACGTGTCTCCACTTCTACCTTCACTTGGAATTTAGCCAACCTATTTCAGGGCCCAACTGAGGTACTGTTTCCTTTATTCTCATTAGCTGTCTCTGGGTTCCCTTACAACTGTTACTCCTCCACTAACTCCCTCTTCATATTTCAAGCTTGCACTGTCCTATTTTGGGAAGCATTTTCCACATGCAGCTTGCTCGGCCTGCTTCCTACTTCCTGCTTCTGCTGGTTTCTTGCCTGGCTTATTCTTTGACCCAGAAGACTGGGGGGGGATGTAACTCTGAAACGTCAGGCTCTCTCTGAAATACAGTGTTACAACCAAGAAGATCAGTCTTATTACACTAATCAACTACAGACAGAAGACTAGGATACAATTCAATTTTTAATAAGAACACAATACTTTACTTGGGAGTGAATAAGTCAGAAAGTGTACTGTATTTTTCAAATGCAATCTTTATGATTTAGTATGCCTCACTGTTCCTGGAGTTTATATACTGCATTTCTATTTTGTTTCAAAGTTCATCAGTAGTTCTAAATCCAGACAGCAGAGGGTCACAAATGCTATCAACAAAACTAATAATCATATGTACAGACACATAAATTACTCTTCCTTTTATTTTGTTATGTACAAATTACATAAAAATGATTTATATAAAAGTTATACATATCTATATTTTATGTTTCCCAAAAACTTCCATCTGATAACGGAGTTTTCAGACTTCATTTCAGTTTCATGTACAGTAGGGCTTATAGTGACAGAAATTGATCAAATAAAATTCTTCTGATAATTTTCAGCACAAAGCCCCAGTACCAACCTGATTCAGTATCCATGGAGTAGTTAAATGTATGGACACAACTACCAACTTCGTGCAAAAAAACGTAATGAAAATGTACCTTGAATGATACGCACCTTAACACTTCCTCAGTTAATACCTGTTCACATGAAACATAAAAACAGCTGAACAAATCCACATATTCTGAAATATATGCCAACAGAAGCCTTCACACAAATTTTCATGGCATTCAGTATTACAGCTCAATTTCAATATCTACTCAGCTGTATTTTGGTCTTTATTGATTGTATACAATATCTAAAGAATTTACCTGCCCCTAATAAATTTAGTTGCATGTAAATATGAAAATACCATTTGTTTAACTCATCTAGGGTCCCAATCATTCATTAGATTTTCTTAATGCTGGATATTTGTATGTAATTATATCCTCCACAGACACCCCACAAATATGGATGCAGGAACCTTATATGAAAGAAGTTCAACATGGATCGAAGAACTCTGTATGACAGTTGAAACAAAATGATTTTTAAAACACAAGATCCTAATGATATTTTCCAAAAATTACTGTAGGTTATATCTGATGACTTAATTACCTCAGTAGTAAAAAGTATACTGCTTTTGTTAAAAAAAAAGTAATGTGTATTTTGTTACTAGTCTCATATATATATACACACATTCACTTTTGCACCTTTATCCAGAATGTCCAGGCTAAAATAAAACATGGCCTCACTGCAATAAAATAAAGGAAGAAATATGTTTTCAAATCTATTACAAGACAAAGCACACCCATTGTACAATTAAGTAACAACTGGTGTAAAATTTTTTATAATAAAATGATAAGTGAATTATTGAACCATATTATGTTTCAATGAGATACTGTAATTCCAGTTTCTCTTGTTTCATTTCCATTCCATCATCTTTCAGACCTGCATACTGGGGCATAACCTCAAGAATTATGATAGTCCACTGACCTGTAATAACTGTCATTAATGTTGGCAATGTCTTAAAATTTATAACACATGTATTACAATCTCTTCCAGAGGAGACAAGATTAGATAAAATTCATACAAAAAACTACATAAGTATCAATACCTGCCAAGAACTGACATCATGGTTTTATTTTGCACTTTCAATTCAGAGGGGCTACTAGGACTTAATAGACACAATTTTCCTATTATATATAAGATATTACATACTTTTAACTTCCAAATTGTTTAATGTGTTGGATTTGAAACAGTTCCCATTTTTGACCTACAATCATCATTTTATGAAGAAAGAACAGCTTATACTATCATGCCCATGTGTTCCTGAACTTTTGAATTAACTGATATAATTTCATAGAACCTGGTATAAGCATCATGCCATGCCTATCCAATGGCTGTCATGTGAACTTCTGAGGTTGAAGCAACATTAATGCCACTTAATTTTAGGTCTTGAAACTGTGATTCCTTTCTCACAAAACAAGCGACTTTCGCTTTGCAGAACGTAAAATAACATGGCAAATATGCAATATCCATATCAAGTTTTCAGTTTGATGACAACAAGAAACAAATCATTAGGACCAGGTGTGTAATGTAGGTAGGCCACATACTTACCTACAAATTTTTAATGAAACATTTTCCATATTCTGTTCACTACTACAAACTTCAAAACAGGACAATATCCTGAAAGCTATATCTCACAAATTTTTGCACAGCTGGAAATTATGTAAACAAAGGGATCACTGAGTCATGTAATAAATTTTTAATTCTTATTTGCCTCACTGCAAAGCCTGACACATTAGAAGAAAAGTAGGAATCGTAACTTCATGTTATAACTTCTTGTTTTTTATGACTCCATGACATTCACACTGTAAAATATAATACTATTTGTATGGTCACTGGCTAGAGCAATGTTGTGCATCATGGGTACCAGATGATATTTCAGTTTCACACTGATTAAGCAAATTTACAACTCTAAACTGAAATATGGTGTGAAAGCACAGCAAATGATGCCACATCAAAACTGTACTGTTACATCCAAAAAAAAAAGGTCTGGAATTTATTTGTCTGCACTCTACCACAATTTAGTAATACTGTATAATTGGTCTTCATTAAATTAGTATTGGGAGACTCATCAATCTCAAGATGAAGTTCTACTGCCCTAATGCACTGACATACATAGGGCAGTCAAAAAGTACTTGGAATTCCCTTGCACACGGAGAACGAGTGATAAGATACTGTACACACTGTTGTGGTGGGAAGCTCAGCATGTCTGCTCGCAGGCGCAACAGGTCTGGACAGGTTTCAGTGTGCAGTGTCGTTACTGTTCCGTTTGAATTAGACGTGAGTGTTGGTCATTTGGCACAATGTCGCAGTTTGAACAGCGTGCGAACATTAAGTTCATGTGCAAATTTGGAAAATCTGCTTCAGAGACGCTACTGGCCCTGCAGAAAGTTTACAGTGATACTGCACTAAAGAAATCCGCAGTTTACGACTGGTATTCCCAGTTTAAGATGGGCAGGAGATGTTAGAGGATGACCAGCGCAGTGGGAGACCTTCAACATCCAGAACCGAAGAAATGATTGGAAAAGTGTGACTTGGAGCAAGAAGTTGGTACTGTTACTGGCCATTTCTACGTGCAAGTTTTGCAGAAGTTGTGCGATGCAGTTCAGAGGAAATGGTGCGACAAGTGGCACAGACAGTGGTTTCTGAATCATGATAACACAAGCCACACATCGCTTCTTGTGTAGCAATTCCTTGCCAAGAAAAACATTCCTGTCATCACTCAACCACCGTACTCTCTGGATCTTGTTCTGAGTGACTTTTGGCTGTTCTCTACTCTGAAAATGGGCCTCAAGGGGACATGTTTTGCAGCCATGGAGGACATCAAATCGAATGTGACGGCTGAGCTCCAGAAGATTCCAAAAGAATCCTTCCACCACTGCTTCCAACAATGGAAGGATCGCTGGAGTAAGTGTGTGTGCGCGCAAGGCTTGTACTTTGAAGGTGATTAGGTAAGCACTGCTGTATGTCCCACTTTTTGACTGCCTTTCGTATATAGCTCTTTAGGGTATTTAGAAATTTGAGAAACATACTTTCTGACCTGAAATACATGCCATGCAAATTGCATGCAAATTGATATGACTGGTTTATCAGGTGGTTTTATAGAAAAGGGAGACAAATGACCATGCATTCTTCTAGCCTGTTCACAATTCATAAAATCAAATTGGTAATGAGCACTGGACCCAATAACAGCATTCCTTTAAAACTCAACATGCAATCTGCTACCGTGTTGCTCAAGTGCTGACATGCGCACTTTCTCCAACTTCAACGTGCGATGATGGAACTGGTGATACATATGATAATGCCTGACAATCCCACCTCTGGGTGCAGCAGCACTAGCATCTCCTCTTTTCCCCAACGGAGAGCCCCGAGGAGGTACAGGGGGAGGAATTTTGCCAGAAGCACTTGGGACTCCACCAGGAGGGAGTATATTTTTCCCAAAACTTGGTGGCCGGTCTTTCAGTACTGCAGGATAGGAAGGTGGAGAGGCAGGAGTTGTAACTACTGGGGGAGATGGTGGTTTTGCAGGACCAGAAGAAGCAGGAACTGTGTTAGGAGTGGATGTGGCACAAGGAGGGGCAATGCTGACCCCAGTTGGGCTTCCTGATGAAGCAGCACAAATAAGAAGAGAAGAGAGAGATTGATATACACAGTAAGTCAAGAACAGGAAACAGAAATCACTACCATACTTGAACACCTGGGAACATGGCAAATGTGAAAAACAGTACTCACTGAAAACCATTCTTACTTTCAACTTCATGGCCTACCTTAATCACTGAATTTATGATCAAAATCTCCTTTTGATTCACTATTAACAAACAGTAGACTACCAAAAATTCATTCTGAAGTACAACATTAAATTTTGATACATATCTTCAGAGTGCTAATTACTTTCACTCCAACACTAGGTTACAATTAAAAAAAAAACCATAAAAATGTACTTTTCTTCCACTGCATGTTCTGCTATGCTATCTAGCAGTAAGCACACTATTTTTATACACTGTGTATTTAAATCAATTATGCATTTTAATCAGTCCTAAAATTACCTTTTATAAATGACAGACACCAAATATAAATAAAGTAATTCTCTCAATTACAGAATTAAAATCGAAAACGCATCCATTTTAATTCACTGTTTATAAAAAAACAGAGAAATTAATAGAACAATGAACACATTAAAATACTATTGGGTTATGTTTATTGTTTCCTGTACTTTTAATGTCACATATGAGTGAAGTGAGAAAAATGCGAGTTTAACTGTTCACCAATTTATCTATTGTAAATTTCCCACTTTCAAAGGTATCAGCACAGAAAATAATAAACTTTTATTTATAGTTTAATTTATTTGAACTCTCCTTTGCCCATACATACATGCACTTCCATATGAAGTATTCACCAAAATTACAACTAAATAAGCTGTCAAATGCAATCTATATGTGTTAAAATGTTCTTGGAATAAATTTCAGCACATAGAAAAGATATTCCTGAAACATGCTCCCAAGTGTTCATTCCTTCTCAAAGTAAGAAACTCATTGAGAAAGTCTGTAGAAATTGCTGCCACCACCATGAAACAAAACAGGGTAGAAGATAACAGTATCACCGCTAAACAAGCACCTACAGTAGTAGCTATCAATCATGCCATTACATTCAAAGCATGTTTACATATGGCATACAAACTTTCTCCACGAGATTTTTATTGCATGTTGAAAACCATACATTTCTACAAGGTTTATAATCTACCCTACTACAGTACACTATCCTCAAATAAGTACATATCTTGTTTAGGTAAAGTAAATATTTACTCTTATGTTACATCATTCTAAAACTGGAAACTGTAACCTTGTTTCCAGATGCACAATTTTCTCTTTTTTCCCAACTGCACTTAAATTCTTTTAAATGAGGTGAAAACCATTTAAACTTGTATTCTACAGAAGTTGATGTTATGTACCAGAATTTTAAAAACAACTCAGAAACAAGTAATGTAATCTGAGCAATGGTAGAAAAACGTAATATTACATAAGCCTGAAATCGTCAGTTAGTATTACTGAAAGTTCCTAGTCTTCTCTGTAAGATATCTCCATGTTAAAAAATGAATTATGAAAATTAATATTTCTATTTATAATAATTATGGTCACTATTGTACTGAAAGTTATTTATATAGCAGTTAATATAATATATAAAAATTACTGCATAATATACTAAATAAAAATGACTGCAAAGTAGAAAATAAATATTTGCTTACAGAAAGCATGTCAGATCACATGCCACAGCACAATCTCATCAGAGAGGAAGAGGAGCTGTTTTAGTTTTCACCATATATTATTACACACTACTAGCATAAAGTACCCAAATATCTACACAATTTCCACTGCGACCCTGTTAGTTTTGTCTGTCTCCAACCTTCCACTTAATATTGTGAGTCATACACTGCTGTCCAAAAACTATCGGACTTTATTTTCTGCCACTGTAAGTAATGACCAAAGGGGTGGGGAAACTGAGTGTAGTGGTAGAAGGGACTTTCATGCGCATGCATGATTTGTTGCTGACTCACTGGACACTGCTGGACACATCTGTGGCTGCCAGATAGCAAAGTGGTGTAACACGTGTTCGTTGCATTCTTGTTTCGCTAAAGATTACAGAATGCTTGGAGCAGCGATACTGCATCAAGTTTTGTCAGAAACTTGGGAATACCCGAGTGGGAACAATCCACAAATTCAGCAGGCTTTCAGCAATGATGCAATGGGGGTCACTCTAATTAAGAGTGGTTCAACCACTTTAAAGATGGCCATATGTCAGCAGACAGTGACCAGTGTTCCATGAGGTCGTCAAAAAACCGAAATGCTGATGTCATTGAAAAAGTGCGGACACTGATCATGAAGGACCGTCGTTTGACCATTTGGGAAGTTCCTGATGAGGTTGGTATCAGAAGAGGTTCCACGAACACAATTTTAACTGAGGATTTGGGCATGCAAACAGTGCCGGAAAAATTTGTGCCCAAGCTGCTTTCGTCGGAGCAGCAACAACTCTGCCTTGATGTCATGCAGGACAGGCTGGAGTGCACCCACAGGGATCCTGAGTTCCTGAAGACTGTGATCACTGGTGATGAGTTGTGGGTGTACGGATATGATCCGGAAACCAAGGTCCAAGCATCACAATGGAAGCATCCAACATCCCCGAGGCCAAAAAAACGCACGACAGGTTCAGAACAATGTGAAGGTGATGCTGACTGCTTTTTTCGATTACCAGGGTGTTGTGCACCATGAGCACACACCACTAAGCCAAACTGTCAATAAGGTGTACTACCAAGAAGTCCCCCTTAGCCCGTGCCACAGCTCAAGCGGTTAGTTGCTGGCTTCCCACCAAGGCAGCCTGGGTTCGATCCCATGTCTGGTCAAGTGGGATTTGTGGTGGACAAAGTGGCGCTGGGGTCTGTTTTCTCTGAGTACTTCGGTTCCCCTGCCAATCTTCATTCCACCAAATTTTGCACCATCATAATCACCTGGGGCAGGCTACAATAGGCCAACCAGTGGCCACCATGCCAAGTGGACTCAGTTGGACTCCACCCCACACAAAGCGAGTTAATTATTAATTAAGAAGTCCCCCACCATCTTCATGATACAGTTCGGCACAAGAGACCGGAGCTGTGGGACGCACGCAACTGGCAGCTGCATCATGACAAGGGCCCAGCTCATTCATCACACCTAATCCAGGGTTTCCTGGCAAAGCACGGAATTCCGCAAGTTTGCCAAGCTCCCTACTCTCCTGACATGGCTCCTTGTGATTTCTGGCTGTTCCCGAGATTGAAGACACTGCTAAAAGGCTCCCGTTTTGACAGCCGCAAGGACATCATACAGAATGCAATGGCACAGTTGCACATCATTCCAAAAGAAGCCTTCCAGAATTGCTTCCAGTGATGGAATGACCGCTGGGCTAAGTGTGTGGAGTCAGAAGGGGCCTACTTTGAATGGGATTATGTACTGTAACCACTCAGATACAGAACTTTGTTTTCCAGGCCCAAGGTCAGATACTTTTTAGACAGAGTAATACACCCCCGCTTCTGCCTTTTCTTTTGAACCACCGAGACAATCTGACACATTCGCAGAACATCTTAGAAATGTCAATAACTTTTGATTGTAAATGTATTCAAAAAGTAGTCAACCCAGGTACTTCAGTATCATGTAACCATTAAACAGTTACAATTAAGGTAAATGTGATATCACAGTAAAATTTTTTGGATTGAAAACAAATGCAACACATTAAGCACAACAACCAAATCATATTTTTTCACAAGGGGATTTGCAAGATGATGTCACATGTTACTATTTCTTTTGGCCGATTTTGGACTTCACCCATCGTCCGGTATATAAAAAAAGACAAAAATACCACAACGTTTCGGAGACTGGATCTGTCTCCGTCTTCAGGTGTATAAGGAAGGTTTAACCTACTCACACCTATATGGTCTCCCCAAGATCCACAAACCAGACATTCCACTGAGACCCATAGTGAGTTCAATTGGCTCCCCGTGCTACGCCTTGGCTGCCTTCCTACAAAAAATACTGAGCCCTTTGGCCGGCAGATCTGGTTCCTTCGTGAAGAATTCCGGACATTTCATAGCACTGTTAAAGTCTGTCAATCTCCGTAGACACGATATGCTCGCCAGTTTTGATGTGGTTAGTCTTTTCACCAACGTACCAGTCGACGAAGCCCTTCAGGTCATCAGAAGCAGGCTGAGTAACGATAACACGTTGGCAGAACGGTCTGTCCTGAAGGTGGAAGCCATCATGGAACTGCTGGATGTCTGCCTGAGGACCACCTACTTTCAAGGGGACGACGGATTCTACCAGCAGAAGGATGGCATGGCAATGGGTAGCCCCCTTTCTCCCGTTGTTAGCAACAGCTACATGGAACATTTTGAACAACTGGCTATCGACTCAGCGCAGGACAAACCGTCGTTGTGGCTACGATATGTGGACGACACATTTGTGATCTGGCCGCATGGTGCAGAGGGGATACAGAACTTCCTTACACACCTCAACAGTCTGAGACCGGCTATCCAGTTCACCATGGAAATAGAATCGGAGGGAACGATCCCCTTCTTGGATGTTTTGGTCATGAAGAAAGGGACGGCTCTGACCACGAAAGTTCACAGAAAACCCACCCACACTGGCAGATATCTTAATTTCAATTCCAATCACCCTCCGCATGTCAAAAGAGGAATTGTTCATAGCCTTCATGATAGAGCTACCACTATATGCCAAGACCGGAAAGACCGGGTGTTGGAGGTTAACAATTTGAAACGCGACCTTCAACTGAGTGGTTACTCTCAAGGCTTTATTGACTCGGTTATCAGGTCCAAGGGCGGTAGTCGTCAAAAGAAAAAAGAGGAAAAGCCTCTTGGCACGGTGTACATCCCGTATGTCAAGGGAATCTCTGAGAAGTTCAAGCGCATAGGGAACCAGTACAATATTAGAACCGTCTTCAAAACTAAACACACTTTACGATCTTCGCTCGTGAGAACGAAACCAAAAAGGGATCCTCAACACACGGCACAGTGCGTCTACAGCATTCCCTGTCAATGTGGCAGAAGCTACATTGGTGAAACAGGTAGACCACTGGCTGTTCGAATCCGTGAACACAAGCACAATCTTAAGCAGGGTCTTCTAGAGAAATCCAGGTTGGCTCAGCATGCATATGAAGAAGGTCACAGGGTAAGCTGGGAGGAAGCTAGGATCTTGGAGATTGAAAGCAACAGCAGATACAGGAAATACAAAGAATCAGCTCATATGGCATGTTCATCCAATCCGATCAGCCAACCTAGTTTGGATATTTCTCCTATATGGATCCCCCTCATCAATGAAGAGGTTAACAAACCAAAAAATATAATTTCATGAATATTAGTGGTTCCACTACTACTGCAAGTTTTCTTCCGGGGATTAGTCTGATTCCCGGAAGTCGCCATGGTTGCACGATTCTTTATCCATGCAGATCAGGCATGCTTTATCCAGTTTTTACTTTCGTTTTTAACTGAATTCATGGAATATAACCCATACTTCTGTTTCTTTACATTGTTGACAAGTGCATGTTTGGCACAAATTTTCTATCATGTTTTTACTGCGATTTTATTCTTTCCTCCCACTGACGGAACCGGTTGTCGGTTGTTCATAGGTTGTTTCTACAGATCAAGGTTTGTCCAGTGATTGAGGCTAGCTCTTTCTAAGGGGCCCAACTGAGTAGGTTAAACCTTCCTTATACACCTGAAGACGGAGACAGATCCAGTCTCCGAAACGTTGTGGTATTTTTGTCTTTTTTTATATACCGGACGATGGGTGAAGTCCAAAATCGGCCAAAAGAAGTACAGTATACACCATCGTCAGAATCCTTTCAAGTCTATGTTACTATTTATTTCACATATATTTCTGTCTGAAATGTAACATATCTAACCACCCTTCTTCCACACTACATGTTTCAGCCATTATATGGCTATCACCAGGTGTCTTCTACCTTGCTAAAATGTCTACACACACAGACCAATCAACAACACAACTACTCTGGCAATGTGGAAGAACCTACAAAAAAACTAACAAAAATGATAACTCTACATCAACATCCTTATGGCCTGCACAAAGAACATGCATAATATCCATGCCAAAAGGGAAATCTGCATAAATAATTCCAATGCAAAAGATACTCAAGTAAATATCTTTTAAAGAATGGATAACGACCATTAGGAAAACACTGGAATGTTAATTAATTTTAATTAAGGTCAATTTATTTTAATCAGGAAATGTTGTGTTCGCACACAATACGAAATTTTGACATACAGTGTGACAATTTTACCAAGACAGAAGATACCTGATGATGGTCGTATATGGCCGAAACGTATAGTGTGGAAGGGTGACTAGATAAGAAGCTTCATTTAAGACAGAAATATATTATATATTAATGCAACAGGATGCTTAAATACAGTAACATGCTACTAGTTTTCTTTGTTATTGATCACCTTGATGTCTACAGTCAAATCTGTTCTAAAGCTGTATAAAGTAAGAAGTATACTAAAATGTGGTTGTAAAACCATAACGGAGAAAACTTAGGGTATGACAGAAATATAAAACCTTTAATTTGGATAGCAGTCTTCTGGGTTATGACACTGTATTGATTGGTAGGTAATTACCAATGTTTTGGAGAAACTTGCTGTCTCCAACCTGAACATGAAGACGGCAGGTTCTTTCACACCACTACCAACAACCTACCACACAAGACATAAACATATTCCAGAAGTTCAGATGTAGTGCGTGAGACAAGCACAGGAGAATTCCTACAGGCAGGTCATTCATTCTTGCAACAGTCACCATACAGATATGCTGAACAAAGAGGATGTTAACTGCTGATTTAAACTGTTTAGGACATTTCTATTTCCCATTCAAGAAGTGATGAGCCTGGACCCAGAAAAGTCATAATCCTTAGGCATTAGAAAATGACAAGCATTTGGGGCAACCAAGCACCAGCAAAAAGACAGGAAATGTTGAAAAAATTCGAGAACTCATCCATGAAGACCGCACCCAAACAATCCATGAGCTCGCAGACACCACTGGTATCAGTAATGGAGTTTGCCAGGAGATCTTAGCAGAAAATTTGAACATGCACAACACTGCTGCAAAGTTTGTTCCCTGACTCTTGACAAATAACCAAAAGCTGCAACGCATAAAAGTGTCTTGAGCTATGAGAAAAGGCTAACGAGGACCCAACTTTTATCTCTAGGATCACAATGGGTAATGAAAGTTGGACTTACGGTTATGATCCAAAAATAAAGCAACAATCATTGCAGTGGAAGGAGCCCACAATCACAAAGATAAAAAAAGATGTGCCAGGTCCAGAGTTCAACAAAGAGCATGCTCATTGTTTTTTTCAATGTGAAGGGGATTGTTCATTGTGAATTGTCCCTCCTAACACTACAGTCAACTCTGACTTTTACTGAGATGTTTCAAGACACCTGAGAGAAAATGTGCAATGAAAAAGACCAGAACTCTGGTGCAACCACAACTTGCTCCTTCATCAAGACAATGAGCCCACCCACACATCCCTGAAAACCACACAGTTTGTGTCTAACAACAACATGGTTATTGCTCCCCATCCTCCCTACTCATACCCGGTGGTTTTGCTTTGTTTCCCGAATTGAAAATGAAACTGAAGGGATGAAGTTTTGAAACAGTGTCTGACACCTAAAGGGAATCACAAGCAGTACTTGACAGCCTCAAGGAAAAAGATTTCCACCGTGCTTTTGAAGCGCCGAAAAACAATGGGATTGCTTTATATGTTCCAAAGGAGACTATTTCAAAGGAGATGGTAGTCAAAATTGAGTAATTTAAGCCAGCATTTCCTTTCTGGCCTAGTCCAGGAACTTTCCGATACACCTCATATTTTAGAAAAACACATGGTACATACGTTGTGTTTCACTCACATTTTGATCAGTTGTCAGTAGCTGTTACACATAGCAAGAAATAATAAGACTGCAGAAACCACCTGTGACTTTTGTTTCATAATTACATGGTGACTGGCATTTACTCCAGTAGAAACTACTGGAGTAGTAATTCACTACTGTAATTCACTGAATTACAAACATATAAGTCCCTGTGGTTAAGCATGATTCCACAACAACATAAGGGGAAATTCAAGTAAGCTCCATACATTCATAACCTTGGAATTAGATGGAGATGAGTGGATAGCTACAAGCTCCAGCCACTTTAAACCAAGAACCTGTGGCACATACTTCATAAACAGGAGACTAGCAATTGCAACACTCTAAAATCACTCCATATCCATCTGTCAAGTATCCTGAACAGGACACTGAGAGCCTGACCTTAAAAATAATGAATATATTGTATACACAGAAAAGTTTCCTTACTTATAATTACTTCAAAAGGGGCATTACTGTAACATGAACTACAGAAAGTAGGTATAAATAATTACTGTAAAAGAAAATACAGGATAATGGTAGATGATTATGCAATTACTAAAAGAATTCAGCATTAGATTCATCATATGCGACAATGAACCATCTGAATGAACAGAACTTACCAGGTTTACTGGCTTGCAAGGTGGTGCCGGATGTAACCTGCACAGCTGCACACACAAAGAGCAACACAGGGTTACAAGAGGGGGAAACAGAAACGATGCTGCCACCATCACCATTATTACACACTGCCATAATACCAACCCAACGAAATACATAATAAAGCTCCAACATGAAGTACAACAAACAAACAAACACATAATAGACCAAACATTACAACAAGCAAACAAACATAAATTCAACATAGTCCCCAAAATAGAATCAAACTTGGTACCATTTCTTATGCTGCTTGAATAGATGAATATCCAATATTTATCTTCATAATAAGATGTATCTGAGGAAGAGGGATGTCAGGATGTTAATTAACAATGTCTTCTGATAATTTGAAAGGACTTTCTCTACACTGTACTGATTTATGTTGTGATACACCATTTTATTCATTACCAAAATTTCTCTAAAATATGCCTGCATATATATAAATAAAGTAAACAGTAACCAATGTCTACATTTACACGTTAAAACTGAGCACAATCAAAAAAGTAAAACAAATCTTTTGTTCATATTCATACAGTCAAGGCATTCCACCCATTTCCCAAGCACAGCATTATGGACTTAAAATATACAAAACTTAATCAACCTGGGAATAGTTTATTCATTCTCTGTCCCAGTAAAATAAAATCAGTAACACCTGCCCACTTTATATGTCAAATGAAATATTTCTACACAAGAAAATAATGTGCAGTAAGTTCATACAAGAATGCATAACAAGAAAAGTTTTGGTGGGTTAACAGCAAAACATTAAGACAGCTGAGTCCTTTCATATGCTTTTCTCACACTGACCAGAAAAATCAATGCATCAAACAAAGATTTAACCATACCTCTCTAGGAAGTGAAAATTTCAATATGGATATACCCAAAACACAACATAGTAATGAACAATTAATTACTTGTATTTAACAGAAGAGCTTTTCAGTCATTTTATGAATTGATGGAGATCAGTGTAAACAACTAAAACATATTCTCCAATGATATACTTAATGGTAAGAATAATTTTAAAGCACCAGATAATGAAAAATGAGCTACTGTTCCTATAGGTTCAGTTATTGTTTTTAACATACAGAACTGATCAGAACAAAATTATAAAGTTTTGTACATGTACTTCATTTTAACGAGTATGTACATGGGTAGAAGAAAGAAGTCTCACTGACAGAAACCACAATGAGCAATACAGAAAATATTGTCACAAGTCAGTGAATAGACACCAGGTTTGGAATGATTACTGAATTTATTGGAAGCTTATAACTCCTGACTACATGTAACTCTAACACCATCACTGATTTATACACTTTACAAATCGCTACAGCACACACTAAGTTCTCCCCCTCTGTTGGAGGGGATTTGAGAAGGCACTCACTCACTCACTCACCAACTATCCTCCCCCCTTCACCCCTCTCATGCACGCACGTACACACACACACACACACACAGAGTCAATGAGCTCTTATTACACAACACTGGCACAGACCCTACTGAGTATACTCTTTCTAACAATGTCTCCAACTGTTGCAGTGACCGTTGCCTAGCAATGTGCTGGACACTGTTACATGTTAACCCAGCTGTTACCACATAATCGGCAATGATTAGACAATTATGTCACAATACTTATACAGCAAAGTTGAATATTTTAGAAAGTCACATGTTCTGATTTTCTTAAATGTAATGTTCAAACTGCTACCAGAATTCTCATGAAATAAAACAAATTCTTCATAACCTGTCACTATGCTAAATATTTCGCCTTCAAATCTTGTCAGTGTGCTGATGATCATGATAGTTAGGTACTGTTTAAAATTTTGTTTCCGTAGAAAACTGTAAATTTTAATGCAAAGTACATGATTTTGCATTAATTATTTAATTGTTTGGAATTTTAAAAGCTATTGAAGGAAACACAAACACAAACAACAAATGTCTGGTTTTATAGCTAAAATGAAACTCTACTAGAGTAGAATAGTTGCTGATACTGAACTACGACTTCACTCTCCTATATCTATAATTCAACAGCTGATAGCACTACACAGAAAGTATGGATAAGAAATTCTGAATATAGGAAGGAACAGCAAACTCATTTTGTACATTATCAAATATTTTTAACCAGTGTTGAGGCTCAAAATGATACATTCCAACCGTTTGTATAACTTCAATAGACTTCAGTGACATCAGTATTACTTTGCTTTGTCTACTGTTTCTGTAGTACATACAAGGGACACCAATTACAGCATGCTCCTGCATTATGAGAGTGATGTGTTCTCAACAATGTGACTGTATCATGAAATTTCATAATGCAGACCCTATTTTTCATTGACTCCCAAGTTATACAGTGGAGACACACCTCTACATATATTTTTTCAAATACAACTGTAATTAAAACACACTTTTTCACCCATCACAAATAACAGCAGGTAAAGGTAACATGTCCCTGTGTTTAATCAAGGACCATACCATGGAGATATTTGGGGGGTGGGGAGAGGTACAGCTCCACCATTCTCAACCTTGGCACTAAACATACGTAAGTGGTCAGCTTCATGCCCCAGCTGCTTTATCCCTGGGAAAAGAGCTCTCAGTGCCTTTTGTATAGAAGACAGACACTACAGAGAAGAGAAAAAGTGCTACTGCCTGCCAGAAATCGAACCCCAGCTATCCAGCCTATAAGCCCACACTACACTGGAAAAGCTATCCCAGCTCAGAAATAATCACAGGTAACCAAAAAATAAACTTACATTCCTTCCCATGCTCATTTAGGTGTATTACAACATGATGCTCTCTGTTCAGACATCAGAGATAACACTGCACAATCTAAGATGCAGATAGTATCCACATTCCCCTACATCACTTCTGCTTGCACACATGCTAGCCGATATACATACGAGTGTCTCACTATGTCACTGATGTACATGCATATCAGATCTGAATTTCTTCAACAGACAATCATCTATTGAAAACAAAAATTAGTTCTGATTATATTCATGTTTTGCATTTTGTGGCTAAAAATTCAAATATTTATTTCAAATTTCTGAAAGGCTGACTTTATGGTTTGTACCGTGAAGCTTATGGTCATGTTTCATAATTTCCACAGGCCAAAATTCCGTAACTTGAACACTCATAATGCAGGGGGGCACTGTATTTGAGAAAATGGTTAAAATGTATTTATATGCCTGAACTGTAAACATAAGTTATTAAAAGTACGTATGCAGCATAAGCTGAACACAGTGATATCCCTTAAACAAATAAAAAATATCTGCAAATATAAATATTCAATTTTGCAGTGGAAAGAAATTAATGCAAGTCTTAATACATCTTATTCAAGGACAACTCTCACTATTATTTTGCATGATTTGAGGCACCCAGTCACCTGAAATAAATTACATGATTATTAAACGAACAAAACACTGACAAAGATTACTGTCTTCTGTGATCTTATGCCATGTAATCTGATAGATCATTACCAGTGTTTTGTTGGAACTGTTACCTCCATCTAGTTCATGTGTGGCAAAAAGTGCACTACAGGAATGGGGCAGTGAGCAAACCAACAGGAATATGAACAACAGTGTGAAGAATATTTGGCCCGCACAAGGGTAGTATGACAAGAGCAGAGTCACTGTGAGAAACAATCTGTTCTTAGCCCTACTGGTTCACTCAGAACCTTGGGTTTTGTCCTCCCTGTCCCTATAACCACATTTTTTCCTCCCTACTTCTGGCTTACTTTTCTACCATGATGTTGGAGGCAGAAGATTCCTCTGAAAGGTGGTAACAATCTACTGCATTGGATTTGAGGTTCTCATAGGGGTGGCTATGGCAAATTCTATCTTGTGGGACAAAGAGTTTATGATTATATAAATAAGCCTAATTTGTCCCGGTGAATAGCTTGCATTTCCTAAGTTTCCTTGCACTGCAACTGTGTAACACTTTATATTATTATTATTATTATTATTATTATTATTATTATTATTATTATTATGGCTGTACAGCCCTTTGTTGGGCCCTGGACACTTTTTCAGTTTCTTGATCCTATGCACAGTCAGTAGGACTCCTTGAACAGGAGATCAGCCTGTCGCAAGGCCTCTACCTATACATAGAACACAAACATAGAATAAATGAACACAATGTAGACATCCATACCTTGAGTGAGATTCAAGCCCACGATCCCGGCATTAGAGCAAGCAAACACAGTTAACTGTCTAACACTTGCTGACAGCAAATGTGTAATAAGATATTAATTAACTATTTTAAATTACCATGCTTCTTTCATGGTTTGTTTATATTCTGCTAAGATTGGTCGAATCAAGCAAACGAGGAAATTGTGAAAATCTTTGTTCAGTCAAGCAAGCACAATGACACATGATTAAGACTAAACAAATTATCAGCTTACTGTTTTCACTATAACCCTCATTTCTAAAATAGTTAAGTGTAGAAGAGAAAAAATTGGGAAGCATACAAAAAACATAAAACGTTTGCATGTTCACGCCCTTTTGATTCTGAAATATTTTTCATTCAAGTAAGTACCCATCAAATTAAGCATGGGCTGCATGGAGAAACATATGCAGGTCATACGAACTCTCCAATTTTAGTTAAAATTATGTGTTAACTAATATTACTAGAACTCCCCAATATCAAATATCAGATATCTTGAAAATCTATTCAGTGTTCTCAAGTTGTTATGTGAAGGAAGGAAAAGCAAAATGTAACAAACAGGCAGATTTCAGCAGCTTTTTGTTGCAATGAGTCAACAGAGGACAATCCTGATCTAACACAATAAAATGTAGCTGCAACAGATTTTAGTGTTTCTTGCTTTAGAGGTATGTGTTGAAGTATGACACCCTATGAGGATAAGGAAAAACAATTTTTTTTCTTCTGCACAGACTTCACAACAAAATAACTGTACCTCTTACTGTCAAAGAGACAGGCCTCAATCGAAGTGGGAGAAAATGAACACTACATCAATTTAAGCATACAACAGCATGCTGATTTACAAATAATTTGGACTTCTGGAAGTATATCGTTTTCAAGGAGAGACTGTTGCTTACGGTACTGAAAGATAAGCTATGACCACTCAATGATATACTACCATATGTATATAAAAATGTATGTTCTTATACAATGCAGTCAATGATCGAGAAAACCTGGCAACAGCTTACAGCAGACATAATATTTCTCACAGATTGCTGCTGTAACTGCCGATAGGAGACTGAGTAATTAGCGCTGATAAATGCGCACCGTCAGGTGGTCTGATCTTGTCACTGTAGTAGGTCGAATTAATAAAGTCAGTCACTGTTATTGGTGTCAATAGGCGGTCGACATTTACACTGAAATGAAGTTCAATACTGAATGAACAGCTTGTTTACTGTCAAAACTTTTGCTAGGAAAAACTTACAGAAAATGTATCCCTAAGTTTAGTCATAAATATCCTGACTCACCAGTTCAAACAAAGTCGTGTGTATCCAAGCTTGTGAAAAAGTGGCGGGCCACAGGTTCAGTGTGACATAAAGCAGCAATCGAAGAGGATTGTGTTGACTGGCAAAAAGGTTCGGGATATTGAGGCACGATTACAGATCAGTCCTTGAAAATCGTTAAGACACTTAGCACAGGAAACTGGTGTTTCACCAGGATCTGCTTCCACGGCAACAAAATTAATCCAATTTCGCCCGTATAAAATAACGTTGTGCATGAGGTGCAACATCCAGATTATGCAGCAAGAATTTGTTTTTGAAACTGGCTGCTGCAAAATGTGCACGATGGAATTGTAGATCCATAGCTTCTGCTCATGACCAATGAAGCATGGTTTCACATTAGTGGTCATGTCAATTCACAAAATGTAAGAATATAGGGCGATGAAAATCCTCACAATATACAGCAAGTGCCATTACATAGTGAAAAGGTGGGGGTGTGGTGTGCTATAAGTCCCTGGCGAATCATTGGCCCCTTATTTTTTCATGAAATCGTGAACTCTGACTGCTACATTAATCATATACTGAATCCATTCATTAAGCTGACTGCTGAAGAAAGACAATATGAGTATTTTCAGCAAAACAATGCTATGGCACATACAGCTAATGCAACAATGGTCGCAATATGGGAAGTGTTTGAAGACAGAATAATCGGCAGGGGGGCTCTGACTTCCCAGATCCCCAGATCTCAGTTTTTGCAATTTTTATCCTTGGAAAACCTGAAGGGAAAAGTGTACAAGAATAATCCTCACAGCAATGAAGCTCTGCAGAATGAAATAACACGCGTAACTGAGTCAATTGCCGTGGACCAACTTCAGAAAGTGTAGCTTATTTATGCGATGTGAGGCATGTTTGCAAGTAGAAGGGGGTCACTTTCAGAATGTTACAAAGCACAGTAAGCCTGTGTTTTCTTTTTACAGTATTCTTATGTGTGCATTTACAGAAACTGATGTGAGGGAATTAGCAACATGGGGAAGGGCACAGTAGTCGCAGAGAAATGTTCCATCCGCTCAATGGTAGCAAGAGTGCACGTTTATCAATGCTAATGACTCATTCTGCTAGCGGCAGTTACAGCAGAAATCTGTGAGAAATGTTGTGTCTGCTTTACGGTGCTGCCATGTTTCCTTGATCACCTGTACCACAAAATAAATTTGAACTGAACACTGTGTAGTCTTGGACATGGTTACCAATGTAGGATCTGAGATTCTTACAGTGGTGGTTATGAAGAGCTGTGTCTCCTGGAATACAACGCCTTGCTGAAAATCAGCTGACATTATTGAAGAACATGTTGCCTCCATCTTCAGGGTCAAAGAATAAGTCAAGCAAGAAATCAGCATGAAGCAGGTAGCAAGAAGAGAAATCGAGTACAAAGTATCATATGTCAGAAGATAGAATTATTTGTGATTACCAATGTTCAGAACAGCCTGATGCCTCCTCTTTCATTTCCATTCTGATGATGAAGATAGCAAGTTCCTTCAAAACACTGGTTACCACCTATATGACTAAGGAGTGTTATAACACATAAGAAAATTCACATAATCCCACCATGAAAACCTCAAATCTCAACACAATACAACAATCCTAGTAACATAGTTTAAGAGCAATAAAACTTAGGAAATTTAAGGCACTGTGAATTTGTAAAATAATACATTTTTCCTGCATATGTGGCATTAAAAAATTAGGTATCCCCCAAACAATGGTTCTGTATCATAAGGTAATACTCACTTAAATGGAATAAGTACAGAACTAAATTATAACTTGTGACCAACGACTTACACAGTGATGAGACTTTTCTACTGACACTGAACTGCACTAGGAACGGTAAACTAGAATATGAAAGGAATATAATCATTTCTGCTAAAATTCAATGTGTATGAAAGGGAGGGACAAGTGTTACACTCACCAGTTCCATCCCCTGTTTCAGTTTCCAGTGCCCCACGCACGGGACGAGAGATGCTCTTACGTTTCGATGGAGAATGCTTCAATGCTGTGACAACAGACAAAACATATAGCCACCTCAACACTCCTCCTTGTAGTGGCCTATCATGAGCAACACTACTAATTTCAAAGACAAACGTGCATTTTTGGGTCCAACTGCAGGAAGCATAAGTATATATAATGTGTGAATGTCACACTCTTCAATAGCCTTCAAGATCACATGACTCTACCCCTGTAATTATACTACATATTAAGAATATATACCGGAGACCCAAGCAGGACTACCTATTATGTAAGATGCCTCACACACACAAAGGAAACATATGGGACTATTTGTTTTTCTTCTATCCATGTTATCTATCCATAATTCTGATTCTGAACAATACAATAAATTGAAATGTATTCGAACATCCTACTTTACTATCAATATATACATATACACACCAAACACTGCACACATAAATAATACTTAAGGGGAGAAAAGTAACCTCTGAGATGTCTATATGTATATGTAGCCAGTGCATGCACAGACCAAATGTGTATGTTGCTATTGTTCTGGTATCTTCTTCTTCCTTCGACAATTCCTTATGTGGGTCATTTTTCTGGAATGTTTTATATCTGGTGTAATTATATAATTTGCTGTCCAGCATTCCAGCACATGGACTCCAAGAAGTAAGACTTCACTTATGAGTATTTCTGAGAGCTATTTCATAATGTTTTCAGTATCTGGACTATACAGCACTGAATATCAGGATAACTGATTAATAATGGATTTTACAGATTTGGAAGGAAGCTGTCTTGGCCTAATCGAGGTACTATCCTGGAATTTGCCTGAAGGGACTGAGGAAAACCATGAAAAAATCAGTCATGCCAGCTGGTGTCCCAGCCAAGATTCAACTCAAGGACCTCCTTAATGCAAATCTAGAATACCACTGCAGAACCAATGTGGCCAGTTTTACATACAAAATTGTGATATTTAACCATGATCTGTTTCTTTTCTGCAGAAAGTACAATTTGGAGAGGGATACACTTCACTTTGACTGATCACCTACTAGCTTTACAAGAAGGACCCTGCTCAATGGAAAGAGCTAGTTAGGAAATTTAGAGGTACAGAAGTTGAGTGGCTTCTAGAGGCATGATAATTACAGCAACTTAAAAGAAAATCCAACTGGTTCTGAATATGTTAGAAGCGTCAAGACACAAGGACAGTACTGTAAGCTTATGTTTTTCCTCATAAAATTAGGAAAACTAGCTGTACCCAACATAACACATGTTATTCTGGCAGATTTTGAAAGGTTTCTCTCTTTCTTCAATGTTCTCTGCCCATCATCAGAGTTTCATTTTGGTCTCTTAGTCTGATTTCTCCATTAACGATTCAATGGAAAGTTTTCTATGGCTTCTCAGAGTTCTTTCATATTGTTTAGCCATACTTACACCTCCTAAAATTTATACACTGCAATAAGTTAAAAAAACGCCTCTATTTATTTTCAGCAGTTTTATATACTGTGTGAAGTTCATAAAAGGTTATACTAGGTGGTTCAAATATGACCGGTACTGATTTTTTTGTAAACAAGCCGCACTACACAGCAGCTGTGCAACCTTGAAAGAGTGAAGCCACAACCTCTACCCTCCCTCCTGTTAGGGTTAGAACCTGTTCAGTCCTGTCTGGAAGTTGCTAGAGTGATGAGTGAACAGAAGGTACCGCGGAGCGTGGAACAAGGCACTGTGATCAAATTCCTCGTTGGAGAAAATGTCCTGTCCGCTGAAATTCACAACAGACTCCAACAACACTATGGGGAAGAGCGTCTCTCACGGACCAGTGTGTTTGAGTGGTGTAAGTGCTTCAGAGAGGGCAGAGAGCGTGTGGAGAATGAACCGCATGATCGTTGGCCGCGAACATCCATCACCAAGCCAAACATTGATCGTGCAGACGCACTTATTCGTGAGAATAGGCGCATCACTATCAAGGAACTTGGAGCAATGCTGTCCATCACTGTTGGTAGTGTAGAAGACATCATGAAATACCACCTGCACAATTGCAAGGTGAATGCATGGTGGGTACCACGCACTTTGACGGACGTGAACAAAATGGTGCGCATGCAAGTTGCCAGTCATCTGCTACAGCAGTTTGAAGACGAAGGTGATGCATTTTTGAACTCTATAGTGACCACCGATGAAACATGGGTGCACTACTTCATTCCCGAGTCCCAGCAGTCATAACGCGAGTGGTGGCATACCAGTTCTCCCAAACCCAAGAGAGCGCGGAGGAGCCGTTTGGCAGGAAAAGTGATGGCAACATTCTTCTGGGACTGGCAGGGGGTTATCCATGTAGACTTTCTGACAGATGCCAGAACAGTCAATGCAGCTTATTACTCAGACCTCCTGGCAACAGACGTGAAGGAAAAGATCCGATCCAAGCGGAAGAGAGGTGGAAAGTGGGTAGCCTTCCTTCAAGAAAATGCATGCCCCAATGTGGCCAAAACAACAATGGAAACCCTCCAGAAATTGAAATGGAACCTTCTGACACATCCGCCGTACAGTCCCGATTTGGCACCAAGTGATTTCTACCTGTTCAGAAGGCTCAAATCAGACTTGCAAGGCATGCGGTTTGTGGACAACGACGCTGTCATCCAGAATGTTCGGGAGTGGATATGCCGCCAACCACAAAACTTTTCTGAAAAGGGCATCAGGATTCTTCCAGAACGTTGGAAAGAATGTGTTGACTCCGGAGGGGAGTACGTTGAAGACTGACATGTGCAAGTAAGTGTTTGGCAATTTTGGTTTAAAAAAAAAAGTCCCGGTGATATTTGAACCACCATGTATATGTTTTTCATGTTACACACTTTTACTGTCATTTAGCAACAAAGACACACAATTTTACCATAAGCCTATAGCCATAACATTCGCAAGGTGGATGTCTCTCAACTTGTAAAGGTAAGCCGTCAACTGGCAACTTGATCTGCGTTCTCACAAACTTATATGAATATCATGCGGATGTTACTTACTTGACAAAAACATTTCTCAAGATTCTGCTTCCATAAAATTTTATTTGGGCAAATTTTCAGTTCAACAAGTAAATACTCGAGGCCTACCAAAGTTCAATGCAATGACATATCATTCATTTGTTTGGCAAATGTTAACAAGCTGATTAGTAGCAGAAAATATAATAACTTTGTTTATTAAATATCAAGTAAAAATAACTACAGGATTTTATGCTTAAGCCCATTAGCTGTGACTAAATGTCACAGATCTACAGGTCTATTCTCAAGCTGGCAACTGCAAACCAGAACACAGTCCTGTACTACAGAGGAAACATGCTAGAATCAAAACACAACTGAATGAGTCAGTTTAGTAACATGCTAGGAGCACTACAAAACTAATCTCTAATGAAATCATTCTCCTATATTCCCTTGAATGTTTTACCAAAGCCAGAATATATTTTTGTTCTTTATCATTCATACAATCTTGTATTCATTTGTTGCTCCTAACAAAAGTGGCCAGTTAACTGCTATGAAGTGCTACTGATCTGTTAGGATAATCCAACTTTTGCTTCCTGTAATCAACCCAGATAGCTTTCCAGACCAAAACAGAATCATGCATACCAGGTCCACTCATACAACAAATTTTATGAACAATGTAAATTCAAGTACCTTATACCCAAAATGTGATAAAGTTGCCAGTCCTAAATAAACCCTTCATGAAGGCTATCACAATATATGCTTCACAGAAACAACTCAATTTCATTTAATCATCAAACAGCTTCATCCCATAGTTCATATACGCAGTGAGGTCACAGTAATATATTTTTATAAGTCATTCTTCACTGTAAAATCAATTCAAAATCGTAGCTCACAGGTAAAAAAATTATAGCTCACCATTATGCTACTAATATTTGTAATTTATATCATATTCCACCAAATAAGCTGGGTTAAGTCACGTTTCTGACTTGTAACTCGAAGGTGTCTACTTCAAATCTCAGCCAGGGCACTGATTATCCTGACTGAGGTTTTCCATTGTTTTCCTAAATTCTCCAGACAAATGCAGAGGTATTACCTTAAATCAGGCAATAACTGCCTCCTTCCACATCTTATCCAATTCATTACTCACTAATCATAAACTGGGCTACAAACAGCATTATTAAATGCACCATAAATAAATAAATAAATAAATACATCACTTCACTCAGTTTGTCACAGTAAAGTTAAAAATAACAATGTCAGATATCCTTCAATTCAAATTTTTATGTATGAAATTAAAATTGGTACAAATAAAAATTCATTCACAATGTGAATTTTTCTGTTTCTGTCGCCTTGTGGGCTATCTGCCTTCATCTTCTTTCCTCTTCACGCATTCAAATGCAGTTGTTATGATAATATGCAAAACAAAATGACTAATGCTTACTAAATTCTTTTATGTTTCTCCCAAATTTCGTTTATTCAGATAGCTGAGACCGTTTATGTAAAATGAGCAATTAATCTCTCTAGTTTAATATACTTTAAGGAATATCATCATAATACCGTATTTACGCATGTATAGGCCGCGTGCGTGTATAGGCCGCAGCACAATTTTCAGACAGAAATTAGAGAAAAAATAATTTTCTTGGAATATTATTTCAGGAGTAGAACATCCTGTATTACTAATTATGAGTAAAATTTTTTTTAAATGAAGTGTGATTTCGAATATTTCGAATATAAGCCGCACCCCAGTTTTCCTCTTGAATTTTTGGCAAAAATGTGCGGCCTATACATGCGTAAATACGGTAATATTCCTTTAATTTCTCTGAATTAGAAAAAAAAAATTAACAGAAGGGTTGAAAGACAAGTTTCAGCATTTTGCAATCTCTATTATCATTTCCTCACTATGGCAATTAGCAATATTAAGATTAACTGACAATGAATGGGTTTATTTGAGGGAACGGCTTCAAAATATAACATAAATCAAGTTTTTAATCTATTATAAGCTGACAGATGGAGTTAAAAATAACGAGTTTTATTAAAGTAAAAATGGTAAATTATTGGCAGAAATAACAGTTGTAAACATTAACATAATTGAAACTATATTACCACCAATATTCACTAGTGAGCCTTTAGTGAAACACATGTCTCAGTTTTCAGAAATACTGATGTATAGTGAATGAGTCTCTGAACCATTCACTGAGGAACAGGAGGAAGAAAAAGGGAAACGTATTTATTATTTACATGCTAAGTATGTTTTGCATATTATCTGCATAAATAATGATTTGACATTATGCTGTCAATGTTATTAACTATGCATGATAAGGCCGCGCAATAGCTCAAGCGGTTAGTTGCTGGCTTCCCACCGCGGCGGCCCAGGTTCGATCCCGGGTCTGGTCAAGTGGGTTTTGTGGTGGACAAAGTGGTGCTGGGGCAGGTTTTCTCCGAGTGCTTTGGTTTCCCTGTCAATCTTCATTCCACCAATTGCTTCACAATTACCCTCACCTATCATCTGGGGCTGGTACAATAGGCCAGAAGTGGCCGCAGTACAAGGGACTTAATCCCACCCCACTAACATTAAAAAGAAAAACTATGCATGATCCTGTTTTGTAAAGTCCTTGGCTAGACAAGTCAAATAATATTTCCATGGGACCAATTCCAATACCGCAGAACTATCACCAACATGCTTTAAGAATTAGTGCTTCCAAAGTCACAAATCATAAAGACATCTGTGATCATCAGCATATTCACCCATTTCAAAAACAAGCATCTCTATTTGTACCCTGAGATGCCCACGCATATTTTTTATATTGCAGCTTGTTATATGAAACTAATATAGCTAATTCATAATTAATATAAGCAAACAAATTAGTAGCAATACCATTTAACCCATCACAAACTAATCTCACAATTAAAATTGGCATAAGTGCAAAACTGCATTTTACGTGTGTTTTTAAAGGACAGGAAAGAGTTGTTCATTTGAATTAATGCAAAATACAGAAAGTAAAATGCATAGATAATACAGTACGAAGCAGTTATAACAACCTGAAAGGAATTCCTATAATGTTAATTGAAAATTCAATCATGCCAAGTCAAATCCATTCAAAATAAACACTTAAAATATTGTCAATATAAGCAGAATCATCCCTAAAAAACATCAAGATTTGAACACTGCTGACAACAGTCCTGGTGATGAATACAATGGATATGGTCCACAATTCCAAAACCTCATAAAAAATTCAAGTTATAGGGAAACACACGCACACACATATTCAAATGACCTCACAAAAACAACAATCATGTTTCAAAGCAACATAATATTAATATTACTGTCATCAGAAGCACACCTAACTCCCAGCAAACAATACAGGCATTTCATGTGTTTCTTCTGATTTCAGAGTTGTAAAAATATAAAACACAGATTGCAGTGATACCTATATAGCTTTGTACAGGAAGAATACCAGATGTGTAGTTACATACACTGATCCACTTAAAAAAAATCAAATACTAATGTTAGTTCTAAGTGCTCTAGTGTGTTAATATTTTCATTCAAATATTTTTTAAACTGAACAATAAAAGGAAGCTTATCGGCAAACAACATTAGTACGTATCAGTCAGAGCTATATATAAAGCAAAATTAAGCTGTAGCCAGTAACACTGCATGCAAACAATAAATTATGTTTCCATAAAGTGGTATCAACAAATGTGAGTGTGCATGTATGCTAATTGAAGTGGTTATAAAAACAGGCCCAACAATATCTACAATGACTTAACCCAAGTTTATGGAACAGGATAAACGTTCCAAATTTCGTAAGAATCAACACTGATTAACAATAAGCTTTAGAATTAAAGCAATCAATCAGGGAAGCATGGTTATGTTCATAGCTGCATTCTGGACCAGAATGGGTGTTTAAAATATTTAAGAATATAGTTTCAACATTATATCATTAAATATGTCACATATTAAAAAAGCAATGCCTAAATCATATTTGATTTACTAATAGCTAGAGTTGTGTTTCTGTTCTATGAAGGATAGTACTGTAAACAGGGTACTGCTTTCTGTTCTTGGATTCTGGACTGGCAGGTATTTTAATGATATATGTAAAACCATACTCATTCACCAACTTTTCAACCATTAAAATGAGAAAGTCAGTTACAACTAACATTTTCTCTTGTAATGCAGAGCTCTTTGTAACAGCAAAACTTTTCTATATAGCAGCAAAACATGATATGTTAGTTTTTAGGTTGGTTATTTAGTAACATCGACTTTTAGACTATACAGCATCAGATCAAAGGATGATTAATGAATGTGAATCAGTTGGTGGAATGAAAACTGGTGGAGCAAACTGAAGTATTAGGAGAAAACCTACCCCAGTGTAATTCTGCCCACCATAAATTCCACATGACCTGACCTAGGATCAAACCTGGGCCACTATGGTACAAAGCCAGCAACCCACTGCCTGAGCCATGCCATGACCAATATGTTATAGGATTCACATATCTGTAGAACTTTTCATAATTTAGTAAAATCTGAAGCAAAAGATTCACTACTAATCCGAAACTGTATACAAATTTTGAATTTTAATATTCAGTTCTTCAAAGCAACAAACTGACACTAGTAAAACCATGTCTTTCTTTTACCAGTTATTTAATAATGTGTCAGTATTGAATCTACAGTGCAGGATGACAGCATGATTAATAAATGTGAAGCATTTGGTGGAATTAAAATTTGCAGGGAACTTCAAGTATGTGACCAATAATATAACTTTCCAAACACTTTCAGAAATCTGTCAGTTACTATGACTGTAAAGATCTTGATAACAGTATTTTAAAAGAGTGAATGATTTTCTTACACAGGGATAAAATGGTCCCATTCTATAGAGCTTGACAGTTATGCAAACACTTCCACTTGCAGTGAAATTAGTATGATCTAAAAAAGACTAATACAAATAAGCAGTTACATTCTTAAGACATATTTAAGGCCATGCCATAACTCGCTGGCTTCCCATGGCGGCAGCCCAGGTTCAATCCCGGGTCTGGTCAAGTGGGATTTCTGGTGGACAAACTGCCGCTGGGGCAGGTTTTCTCTGAGTACTTCAGTTTCCCCTGCCAATCTTCATTCCACCAAATTCTCCATCATCATAATCACCTGCGGAAGGCTACAATAGGCCAATCAGTGGCCGCCGTGCCGAGTGAACCCAGTTGGACTCCACTCCCCACAAAGCGAATTTAATAATAATAATAAAAGACAGTTAAAAGTATGTTTAATTCACAAATGGGTACTAGGAATTGTGTTTATGGTTTCTGAATGATAGTATGTGAACAGATACTAATTTTTACTTGTGCTCAGATTTGGAACTATCAGCAGAGTATAAAGAAACATATTTATGCATTACATTATCAACATAAATAAATATTTCATTACTAGTTACATAACTCATAAAGTTAAGTCATTGTAAGAGAGGAACCACAACCGACATGCAGGAGAAGTAAAGTCCGACAATCCAGTACCGACCTATGTAGCTGGTGACCAGGGTGCGAAACTTGCGATGGTTGCCTTTAATTTCTGGCAAATCCACTAGTAGAGGAGAGCAACGGAGTGGAGCAGAACGCACAGTCAGACAGAGAGACAGACAGATAGTAGAGTACAGAAAGAGAAAAGAGGAAACCACATTTACACTTCCACTGGATTCCAATGTTTAAACTTGTAAGTCTCACAGCTGTAAGTGACTGCTGATCAAATCACAGCAACGTTGAAAATTAACTTACTGTTTCTTCTATTTAAGCACCAGATTTCTGAATAAGAAATGTATCACCATTAATTAAATATGACAGAATCCTCTTTATTTTGTTATGAACTTCCTCTTGGCTGTTATCTTTGTCTCTGTAACCAAGTTCTAAAGTCATATCAATTGCTTTCATATAGCATACAGAAATTAAATGATGGACGGTATTAATTTCCAAGATCTTCCATTCTGAAAGTTACAAACTTCTATGTGTCAAACAAATAAAGAACCAAGTACCCATACACATTAGTGGGCATTGACATACTTTGCCAAGGTGTGACAAAATGGTTTGTGCATGTGCATCTGCATGTGTGTGTGTGTGTGTGTGTGTATATGCGCGTGCGTGTGAGCACCAGCAAATGTGTATGCACAGGATAGTGCAAAATAAAGAGGTGGTTAATTGCCACAAATTTTGACCTTTGCTTCACAATGTGCCAACAGAATGATTAAAGAAAATCAGGAAAGATTGAAACTGAACATAAAACACAGCTTCTGGTCTACACTGATAATCCATTCCAGGCCTGTGCTCGGTGAATCTGAACATTTCAGCTGAAAAATTAGGGACTCTTCAGACAGGGCCGAAAACTCAAAACGGCATTTTTTTTTTCAAAAGTGGCTTCAACAATCTTGTTAAATTGCAATAATTTATGAAGGCCAGATCTCAAAGTAAGACACAGTGTGGTAAGGGACAGACTGGACTTCATTTGCCCAGGATAGGGTCCAATCATAGTGCTCCATGCAGTTGCTTAGTAATAATTCCCTACATGAGGTGTATCAGAAAGTTCCCAGGCTAGGTCAAAAAAGAAATGCTGGCTTAACTTACTCAATTCTGGCTGTCATCTCCTTCAAAATAATCTCCTTTGAAATGTATACAGCAATCCCATCGTTTTTTCCATGCTTCAAAATCACTGTTGAAGTCATTTTCCTTAATGCTGTCGAGTACCACTTGCAATTCCCTTTGGATGTCAGACACTGTTTCAGAACATCATCCTTCAGTTTCATTTTCAATTTGGGAAACAAAGCGAAATCACAGGGAGCTAAGTCCAGTGAGTTGGGAGCATGGAGAATGATAATCATGTTGCCATTAGTCACAAACTCTGGTTCTGAGGGACAATGTGGGAGGGCACAACGTTGTGATGGAGCCAGTTCCGGATGCACCAAAGTTCAGGCCTTTTTCTTCACATATTTCCTATCAAGTGCCTCGTAACGTCACAGTAAAGTCAGAGCTGACTGTAGTGTTAGGAGGAACAAATTCATAATGAAAAATCCCCTTCATGGTTAAAAAAAAAGCAGCTGTTTGTTGAACTCCAAACCTGATGCACCTTTCTTGCTCTTGTTGAATGTGGGCTCTTCCAATGTGAAGACTGTTGCTTTGTTTCTGGATCATAACCGTAAATCCGACTTTCATCGCCCGTTATGATCCTAGGAATAAATGTTTGGTGCTCGTTAGCCTTCTCTCATAGCCCAAGACATGTTTACACACTGATGCCAGTGATCATTTGTCAAGAGTTGGAGAACACACTTTGTAGCACTTGGTGCCAAGTTCAAATTTTTTTAAGATCTCCTGGCAAACTCCATAACTGATCCCAACAGTGTCTGCAAGCTCATGGATTGTTCGGCGATTGTCTTCATGGATGAGTTTTTTAATTTTTTCAACATTTTCTGTCATTTTGTTGGTGCTTGGTCACTCTGAATGCTCATCTTCAACTGACACTTGATCAGCCCCAAAACGTGAATGCCATTCAAAAACCACTGTCCAGCTTAGACAATGTTCTCCAAAAGCCTCACGAGCATTTCAAAGTTTTCGGTAGGGGATTTACTTAGCTTCATGAAAAACTTGATGCAGGCACATTACTTCATGAAACACAAAGTTGAAAAAGCACATGTGTAAAAACAATGCGAGTTTACAGCACGATGTCATGTGGCAAACTGATGAAATAGGCTTGCAGAAGTGTAACCTTGGCCTCCCTTCCTCTTCTTTCACTGAGGCAGTTACAACAATAACAGTCCAGGAACTTTCCAATAGCACATCATATATACAGTACATGACTCCTCGAAAATCATGAGGTGATATGCATAATCACTTTTGTGTAGATAATGTGTGTTTCAGAATCTTTGGGAATGATAGAAACATATCCACACTTTACAGAATGATAAATACACACTGCACACACAGATCTTTGTACATCACGATTAATAACCAACTGGTGATACTGCATTGTAACCTGCATATTAGTAAAAACAATTATACATTTTGTAGTTCTTGACAGTTCAAAAAATGAAACAAGCAGTAGTCAAGGGATCTGATTTTGTATCATAAATTTAGTACCAAAAAACTGAAATGTTGTTAAACATGTGGTAATATAAACTGAATATTTGTAATCAAAATCCAAAAACCTTATACCTCTGATCAAAAGTATTCACACTATAATCTTACAATAGTGAGCTTTGAGCTTACAAGTATGGACAATGGAATCCAAAAATGTATACATTTACCATATCATCTGTCAGTATGATACTAACAAACACAACACATAATATAAACCAATCTGTACAAAAACACCTAATTTCAATGATGAACAAAGACCTTCACTCTAGGATTCTTTAGTCCTGAACGAAATTCAACGTGTAATATTCCTAATTATATAACAAGAGGACAAGATACATATGTATTTCAAAATTAACCCAGAAGTTTGCGATATTAATTTCAAAATAGCTCACAAATGACTGACTGAATTGGTACAGATCCTGTGTAACAGAACATTGTAATAATGACATAAAAAGAAACAAGCATCTATTCCAGATAAAATTTAAAGAACTTTTCAATGATTGAGTATCCTTCCTTCAATTTTTAAGAAATATGGAACAAACTGTGAAACTGTAAAAGTCACTTTGTTAAGTGCATACACAAATTCTACTGCCACTTTCAACTGAGTTAAATAAAGCTGTTCAGAAGATACTTTACAAGAAATTTCTATAACATGTCCACAAGTGATATGTTCAGGTTGTGACACCATACAGTCTTGCAGGCAAATACTGATGTCAACCCTGAAGATGAAGGCAGCATGTTTCTCTAAAATGCTGGTATCTGCCTACAAGATCACAATGTGTGAGAACATAGGAGATCACAATCTAAACAAACACTGCTATGAAAACCTCAAGAATTACATTAAGTGTTCTGTCCTTCCACTAGCACCTTTACTTTATTTGTAATTTACCATATTAAAACTACATATATATTGGTGTCAACCTAAACTGAGAAAGCTCCGGAATTTAAACAATCACTCTACAGATACTACATTTTAAAACTACTCCATTATGATAACACAAAACTTTGGTTCAGATAGGAAATTAAGTTTACTTTCTGAGGCATTACCTAATCCTTATTTGGTTTACTGTACCTCAATAACAGTGGCTTTAAAATAAATTTTAAGACTGCAATTAAGCTTGTAAATAGACCACGACTACAACTCCATTTTATATCACTACATATATACATATTTCATTAAACAAAGCAGTTCTGTAATGTCAACACTAAACATGAATCGACCACAAATAAACCGTTCAAATCTGCATTACGTACCAAAATATTATNAGCCCCCCCCCCCCCCAAAAAAAAATTGAAAAAAATGATTAACACTCTTCTGAACATAAATCTTGATGTTTCACACATATTCTTAGCAATGGAAATGTTAACACAGAAATATAAATTCAGCTATGTATTAAAACACAAAGACAGAATAATACACTAAGCTGTCTTCAGCATATACTGCTGTTTGCAGCCAGGGACACTATGAACAGATTCTCATACTGCAGTGCACATCTCCCAATGTTACAAATTCCATTTGTTTTTGAACACAGCATTTCCTTGTACACAAACTGGTACCTCTATTCTCCAGTTACAAATCTGATGACTTCCCTCTGACATAGCTCAATACGTAATAACATAGTTCTTTACCTGTTTTCCAATTGTGCATCATAAATACATATCTGTGTGGACCCAATAGTGCTCAATTTAAGTTGAATACTATGGACAATTTTTACGTTATTACCCTGAACGGTGCAGTGAATTTATAAAGAATGTTAACAGTTGACAAATAAATTGTAAAAATCTAGTTAATAACATAGAAAATATACACAATAAAAATAGCTACTATAGCAGTACATTTTATGTAACAAAGCATGTATAGTTTATCATGTCCATATCAGCAAATTAACTGACATGAACCAACTAAGCACTGATTCATAATCAATTATGTCAAGAGCTTGTTTACACACTGTTGAAAAATGCTGCAGAATGTATTCCATAATAACCCTCTGTCCCCTCCTTCACCTTAGGTCAAGAACTAGTCAGTCACTGAGTATTACTTCAATAGTACAGTTCACTTGTGGAATAAAACCACGGAGTTTGTCTTTTGCTTGTCTGAGTATTACTTAAAATGATAGCAATGAACTTAAATCTAGGTAAAATATACCTCAACATAAATATCAACTTGTAATCTGTTCCACGATAAATTATAGTGATCAGAATTACCACGAAGTTTCCTTGTCTATAACACAAAATAAAAGACATATGAAGGGCTGGTTAGAGGAATGTGCACAATGGAAACTGAATTTAATCCAAGAATCAGGAATAAACACAGACCTACATAATGGTTTTTATGTGCCTTCATGGCATGTTCTTATGCACAAAATAAGTTTACATTTTATCAAGTATCAGAATCATATATTAAGGCACCAAATTATAGAGGATATAAGGTTCTCACACTGCTGATTATGAAGAGTTCTATCT